AATAGCACCCAGTTTGCGTGCAGCAGCCCTCTTTCATCAATCGATGTGGGCACATCAAAGGGTGAGTCAGTCCTCTAAGCATGGCCGGCGCTTTGATGTCAGGCTAGCACAATTGAAGCTGAAGTAGTTGAGGAGGCTCCTATTGACTGGATTGGTAATCCATTTCCAGTTATGCTTTGTTTTAAGAGTCTCACAGCAAATTGGCAGATACAATTCTGGCCGAGTTAACTTGAAGAGGGATTTTGCACTTTGCAATACGTGCAAACATGTTGTTTGTTGATGTTTGTTGCACTTGCTGCACTGCTGGCCCCTTTGGGGGCACACAAAGTCCACATAGCCTCGCCAGTGTATCAGGCTGCGGCCAGTGCAATTCAACCAGCGGGCGCGACTTCCGAGGTGCAGCCGGCTGGTGTCATTTGCTTTTCTGGCGAAGCTCAATTGCTTGCTGTTCTTTTTTGGTTTGGACGCAGCCCTTTGTTAGTGACAGAGTTTCATTTGTCACAAGGAGTCAGCAAGTGCGAAGAAGGAGGCCCGCTTTGCATGAATTGATTGCAACTGTTCTAATTTCCTCTACTGGGCTATTGTGCATGCATACACCGGTGAGCGTGGGTGACCTTTCATGCATTTATGGTGCTGTCCAATTGATGCTTGTCAGTCCCTGGCTTGTAGGAAGGGAGGTGCAAAGCAGCTCCACTGCGGCGTCAGATCAGTGAGGCATCGTCAGACCGACCAGTGGGCTACCCGGAACGATCTTGAGCTGTTTTGGTCCTGTTGGCATGTTTTGCGACTCCACATCGAGCATTTCCATGCATTTCCCTTGTCAGAGCTGGGTTAGCTTGTGTTTTAGCCTGTGGTTTGGAGGGAGCGAGCTAAGGAGCCGCGGGTATGCATATTCCCCTTGAAACAGGGAGCCAAGGAGTTGCAGGAAGTAGATTGTGTTTGGTACAAGCATCCATACAAGCCCTGGTTGATCTTATGGTATGCATCGATCTGGGTCGAGACCTTTGCCTTTTGGACTGCAGGTCCAGACCTGGTGGGGTTCGTGGTCAGATCGGCCGTCGATCGACACAGGAGTCCAGATCCGACCCGCAGGACGGCGCTTTTTTCGAGGGCAAACATGTTCCACTCTTTTCGAAGGTTTCGGGAAGCCCACCCAAAAGAGGGGGGTTGGAGTGGTTGGAATTTTGGAGTGATTGAATCAGAACAATTACTGTAATGTGTATTTACTTTTGGTTCTTCAATGCTTCAAGTGAATGCTCCAGACCTTTGCAGTAGCGGTTGTTTGCATCCTGTAGTCAACTGTAGTACTCGTAGGTTTGACTGTTGAATGCAATTGACTCCAACAATTTCTAGATGAGGTTCGAGATCAGTGTAAGTGTTTTTGTTTTCCCTTGGATGATCTGACCATGCCTCTTTCAGGAGTGGCCCAGCTTGAAGCACTGCGAGGCAGGCTCCTGTCCGCCCAGCAGTGAACATTTTCCAGCTGGGCGGTTCTTGGGAGGTGCTTTTGTTCTCCCCCCCAAATCCCTCTTTGAGATGGATTATCCTCCCCTACGCGATTTATACCTTGTGTATGGTTTGAGAGCATCAATCACCCCTTCGGCCCTTCGGTTTATAACACCCACTCTTTTACATCCTGTTTGTTAAAAAAGGAACCTCTTTCCACCCAAAATGTTTTGTGTTACCCTTCTGAAATCCCCACGGCCCCACTTGTGACCCTTGGTTTGGAGGTTTCTTTTTGATTCTAACCCGTTGGGTCCCAAAGCACTCAGAGACACTAGTCCCTTCCTGGCTTCTTGGGATTCGATGCCGGAGAACCAACCAGTGTGGTACTCGCTTACAACCAGTGTGAGGCTCATTGCTTGTTACTTTGTGCCCTTTCCAAATCTTTACTGTAATTACGTTTGTGTTCTATGCATTTGTAACAGGCGGAGGGGGTCGTTTCTTGTTCAAGGTGTCTTTCTCCTTATCAGCGGGCCTAGAAGCTATGCATCGCCCCGTTTTCAAGGTCCATAAATGGTCCACCCAGCATCCGTTTGGACACAGACGTGACATAGAGTAAGCTCCCTATAAGTGCAGTTAGACGTTTTCAGATCCAAAGGGGCAACAAAAGACCGACGAACTCGTGGGGGTCCTTTGATGCTTTTGGGCTTTGCGGGATTCTAGTAGCGTCCTTGAGTCCTTGCTCCTAGTAGTGATGCCAGGAGCCCCGTTCGTAGCTTCTAGCGAATTCCACCTGATAGACCTACGTATCGGACAACCAGACTGAGCGATCCAGGTGACGTCCAAAAAGGCTTCGGAACACGTGGCCTTCACGGAGCGCTGGTCGTTGGTTCAAACGGGACGTCGTGTGGGCGCAGGGAGCGCAGATGGGAAGCGGGTGGCCCATGGTGACCCTGTAGTGACTCTGTAGTGTTTGCTGCGAGTTTGAACATCCGTCTTTGAGTCAAAACACTGCAAACATGTCAGTACCATTGCGCAAAACATGATGCAAGCACATGCAAGTCTTCTGATGTGCAGACAAAGTTCAGAAGGGTTGACGTTTCAGTTGTAGACCTGCCAATTTCTTGTTGGAATGTCCGTGAGTTCCTGGTGCATCGTTCCGGTTTTTGGGGCTCTCGATTCTGAATGTGAGTCACACAAAGCATCCATCTCGCTATATAACCTATATAAAAAACATCCGGAGGTCAGAATGTGTTCATGATATTTCATGATGATTGATTTTTGTCTCATTTTATGTTTAAACCGTTAGGGCCACCGATCATTGTTGTCCCATGTTTTCCCACATTTGGGATCCAGAGTCGGTGCACAAACGACCGGAGTGATGGCACTCGGCGGCTGACCAGGACCCGGAGTTGCCCAAGAAGCTGAGGTTGAGGCGATGCCAAGACGCGCTGGATAGGTGTTGTTGACTTGGTAAACAATATAAAAAAAAAAAACAAACAAAGCAGGGGCCGCTTGAAAATGCACACCACTGGAGTAGTTTTGCCTTGTTTTGGGGAGCATCCAAACTTGTAGGGCCCTTCTATCATGTGTCTACGGCAGCTGCTCGTGTGTGGTTGAGATCGCGTGCCACCATGTGTAACCACGGATCCATGAACACACACGCACACCAAGAAAAACGTGCGACAGTGCTTCTGAGGGTGCACGAAAGCATCAAGGGCCGGGCCAAGGTTGGTGTTTCTCATCATAGTACTTGTTAAGATCCTGACTTTGTGGGGACATGTCCAAACTGGCATCAACTGGAAGCATGACTCAGGCGGTCTTCAATGAGCAGGGCTGATGATGCTGCGCCATGTGGACACCTGTTATCCACATGAAATCAAACAAAATAATGACGGGTTCCAGCGAAAGGGCAAAGACACATCTAAGAACTGAACGATAGAAACATGAACTGAGAAAGTCAGTAGGCGTTCAATGTTTATATTATATATATGTGTGTTCTTGGGTTGCACAACACTGATGTGAGATATAATATAAGATGGCGTAGCTGAAGCGCGGGCAAACCTGCCCCTAAACGCTGTGTTTGCTTGTGGATGTTGTTGTTTATATATATTATAGATATTATTTAACAAAATCATTTTCTGACACCCGTGTGTTTTTGTAGCTGAATCTCTGGAGGCGAGCCATCAGCGAGGGCCTCTCCTTGGAGGAAGCCGAGAAGCAGGTGCCCTGCCAGGCGAGAAGCTCGGTGAACTGCCGACGTTTTGAAACTGAGTTTCCATGGCGGAGCCCCCACTTCCAGACGCCCATTGGGTCACATACCGGGAACATGGTATGAAGTGTCACATGATTCTGTTGGAGGATTCTCAATGAGAATATGTCGCATGTGACCGGAAAATGTGAACTGATACATGTGATTTTGGATCCTTGCAAGATCCATGTGGGCCGCATTTGTAGTGCACGTTGTGCCAGGGCCTGAATCCATGAGAGTTCCCGAATCAGAATCCATTTTTGGTTATGGGCACAAGAGGGATATGAGAGGCAAAAGAGTTTTTGAGGTGATGCAACGCAGACGCCAGACGCAGGTATCGTTGATTGGTCAATGGTTGGTTTCGTGGTAGTTGCAACTCAAATCTCGTTGCATGCATCCAAACTCCTACACAGACTGGCCTTGGCCAGTTGTGCACAGACTTCCGAAATCAAGCTGCTGCTAGCTGAAATTGAATCACATATACGTCACACAGGAGTCCTCAGAAGAAAGTGAGTTGCAAAGAAAGTTGCGGAGAAGGCGAGGATTTGAGGGCTGCAGCATTCGGGATCCCATGGGGAGTGGACTCGCCGATTCTTTACTCTGCAGTGGATGACGGGAGTTGATTCTTCGGAATCATAGGGAGCAACATGCAGGGGGACACGTGAATCTGTGAGATTGGACACAAATTCAAGAGTTTGGTTATTTTTCAAGCCTGGGTTTGGGCCTATCGATTTGCTTAGTCAGGGTTCACACCAGACTTCAAGACCTAGAATAGCAACGAACCCTCCAGCTTTGAAGAGTAGGAGGCTATCCTGAAATATGATTCGCTCATCCCCTGTTCTTTCTGTTTACTTTCTCCACCACATCAGAAGGGATGCGGTGTCCCTTCATCTTAAGACAAACCCATGCAGAGAGTTTGAGGTCCCTTTTTGTTGAGGGAAGATGGATCTTGCTGGGAGCTTTGTTGTGTTTTGCCAGCAGCCAGTCGCCAGCTAGAATGATTATGTGATTATTATGCTTCATCGGGAAGTCACTGAATGGTCCTGCAAGACTTTGTGTGAACAATGTCAGTAGCTAGCTTTTAAGATACAGGTTTGTTTCAAAGGTTCAGTTTCAGTTTCAATGGTTAATGCTATTGAATACTGTATTGTAATGTATTGTCTATTATTAATATGTTTGAACGGTTCAAATATACAACTTCCTCCTGTAGATACACGAAAAGGATGATAGATATGATAGGGATGCTTGAGTAAGAGTCTTTCCGCTACCCTCCTTCCCCAATGGACATTCGCTCCCCAGGCGTGAAATGATCGAAAGTACGAAGCCAACAAGTCCAAGTGAGGAGGGCATCGATGTTGTGAAGGCTTCCGGCAGGGCCTGAGAGATTGCAAAAACAAATTGGATACATTTGTTTTTGCAGTCACATTTGCGCTCCTCATTTTTTCTGGTCAGGATTCTACTCCGAGTCTGACCCCTCTACAACTGCAGATGCACAAAATTCGATGCCCATCCCAATGCTGGTCACCTACCCCGGATTTGACCGCCTCTTTGTTCAGTACTTTTTTTACATAAACATGCACGTTGTTTTGTTTGTGTTTCGATTGTCGGTCCTTCTGGACAAACACATAATGACGTAGAATTCGGAGCGTCACCTTCTCAACATGGAAGGATCAGAGCCCTCAAAAAGCTGCTGTATGTGACCAAAAGGCTATCTTTTTGCAAGTTGCCAAACTTGAGATAGTAAGCTTTTGAAAGTTGCATGTCTCAGGATGAACATGTGCGCCTTCAGGTCATCCATCGATCAATTCTGGTCGGTCTTGCACCAACGGCCAAAAGCTCCTGTTTGAAGCGCCCAATGATGTCACGGCTCGTGAGTCCGGCACAGGCAGATGCAGTAGATGCAGAATTCCCAGCCTCACTGACCTCGCCGTCCAGCTTGCCAGACGCAGGAGCGCTTGCAGCATTTTTGTTTTGCCCGTGGTGTATGTGTGTGTACAACTTTTTGGTTTGTTTGATTAGCAGGGGATCTTGGAATCTCGGAATCGTCAGAAGCGCTTCAGTCAAAATGTCTAGTAAGTAGCTCATTTCTCGATGCTAGCCAACGAAGCTAGAGAAATGCGTGCATTGGTAAAGCTGCGTTGCAGTCACTTTGTCGTATTCGGCGTTTCGTCGTTCGTTCGTCGACCCTTCGGGCCTTTGGGGAACTCGACACTTCGGTCAGACTCCCTTAGGTTGCCGCCGTGGCCCGCATTCAGACCGAGCGAACCATATATATCTTTCGTGTGTAATGGTATTTTTGCCCCATGTTCGAGCCACGGTGTTGGTCGAAAAGCATATAGGAACAGAACGACAGCTGTGGTTTCGTTGAAATAGCTCTGTGGTTTTGCTTTGCTCTGCTTTTTTGTTATGAAAGTACTTGCCCTACTCAACCCTCCGCTTCAACTGCACGGGTCAAAGTGAACTCTCCGGCCGCAGCGGCTCGGCGGATGACCCATGGCGGGCCTTTAGGTAAAGATTGGAAGCCCCAAAGGCAACTTCAACCCCCTGAGCCTGGCAAACCAATCCCACTGTGGGGCTTTAACAACCACGTAGATTCAAAATTGTGGAGGGAGTATACTAGCTTGATGCAAAGAACTTGACTGGTTGGTTGGTCAACTAGTCACTAAGTCTTTCTCGCATTTCTGGTCATGGTGACTTTTCCCCTTGAAGAAACTAGAATATGATTCATATTATGATTATATAATTATATATATGATATGAATATTATACATGACTGCTCATAAATGTTGTATGATTTGCAATATCAAAGCTCCATGAATTCAGAAGTAACAGCTTGTTGGTTTGATCTCACGAGGCAAATCAGCTGAAGCTCCAGAGTCAGGTGCTACGCTGATAGCTCAACGGACACATTTTGGGCAGTCGATTGCTGCACAAAAGCATCTTAGTTTCACACACACACAAGCAACATCAAACAAATATCAGTGTGTGTTCTGCCTTTGAGTGTGGTGTACTTGAATGACAGATGTTATTGGATTCCAGCTAGTCGTCAAGGGGAGTCAATGGAGTCAGTACAAGGCGGTTAAATGCAATTGCAGGCTTGCGTGTTTGTCAAACAGAGGCTCCAAGAGTCCAGTTCTTAAAGCAAATTTTGACAGCTATTTACTTGTCCACAATTCACACTCATATGTACGATCATCTCCTGGGTTCAGGCTTCCCTTCGTGGACGTGGGATGACCTCGTCTGGAAAGAAAAACAGCTTCATGGATGCACACCACGGAATCAGAAAGCACGCGAAAGGTTCCAAATGTCAGGGGTTGTGAATACTAGAATTTGCCGGAACTCGATGGAATTAAGGAGCTGGACGATCATATTCCCTCCTGCCATGGAGTCACAGGGAGTTCCGTGCAGGACTAGTGGATGTGAGGCTGGCTCTTGCCAACCGTCATCCTCCACTTTGTAAGGTGGGGCGATACGTCCCTGCACCCGTAGACATCTCAGCCATGCTGGCAACACGAGCAGGATCGAATCTGAATATGGCGCCAGGTCAGCATGGACCTGCAACTATACTTTAAGGCTCAGTATTTGCCTTCAAGTGTGAAACAGCAAAGAGAAATCATAGAGAACATGTCACAAGTGAACACATTAATGATTAATGTTGATAATACAAACAGTGACCGTGCAAATTACTTGTTGTTTTCAAGGCGCGTTGCAAGTTTTTCGCCATGGCTTTACACACCTTCGCCTCTGCGGCGCTGCACTCTGGCCTTGTGCAGGCGTTGTCCGTCTCAAAGCCAGTGGTGCAATATGCAATAGTGAGAATAGGGTTGAACAAAGTCCTGAACCCACTTAAAAAGGTCATGTTTTCGACTCACCACTGCTGCTTGTGGAAGCTTTACTTTTTGCCTGTAGAGTGTTGGCACGGGGATCCCTGGTTAATTCGTCTAGTCTTCCGGTAGTCTGAATCTGTTGAAACTTACCACGACTCGGTTCGAACCCTCATCTGCCAGGATGCCCACCGGGCCCAGCGACCGCCGTTGGTGGGTGCGCGCGGATCACCTGCCTCTGCTGCGGACGAAGCTGTTCCACACGGCGTGCGGCGGTGCTCGGCCATGGTGCTTGTGGGCCTCTTGGGAGACATTCCGCGGATCTCATGCGTGTTCGGAGAGCCCTTTTCATAGACCCCTCAATCTCGGAGACGACATGAAAAAAGACTGCCAGAATGCCGGGCACTGCCAGGGAAGTCGTGCTATTGCCTTCTCTTACCATATTGTTTGGTTTCGTCCCGTCTACTTGTAAGACACGAAGCAAGAAAGGAGATGGACTTCTTCAGGTTTTTTGTGGCGTTTGGCACCATGGATTTGGACATGGTGCTTGTGGTCAGCCACACTTGTCCAATGAAATATATTGAATTGAAGAATCACTTTCGTCATCCCTCATCCGTCACAGCCGAAAGAGATTGCTTTGGCTTGCAGAGCTTGTATGTTCGGTTTCAGATTGGTCACCAATAGTCCAACAGTTGAAGACTTTGTGCATTCTACTGTACACTGTACACTCCCAAAAATCAACCTGAACCCCCCCAAACCCTGACAATAGACCTCAAAGAAGCAGTCCCTGTAGAACAAAAGAGGACTCCCTTTGCATGGATCCCTGTTAATCCCTCTTCACTCACAAGTCTTTGCAAGTCTTTCAGATCTTGATCTTGACAGACAAAACGGGAGGATTCATTCCTTCTACTAGTAGGCATTGCTACTAGGAACAAGAAGCTACTAGCAACTAGTAGCAAAGGGCATCGCTACTAGTAACAAGGGCATCGCCGCATCGCTATGAGTAGCTCCTGGCATTACTACTAGTAGCAAGGCAGGACGCTACTAGTAGTAATGCCCTTGTTCCTAGTAGCGATGCACCTGTTACTATCAACTTCCAGACATTGGCCTTCTCCGGTGAAGCTTGCGCCTTCCCCTTCGCCAAGCCACCAAGGCCTCGGTGTCGCTTCGAGCACTTCCAGTCCGCGAAGGCGCAGAGGAAGGTCCGGCCGTGGGATGCTCCGCGGCTCGGCATCAGAGAGTAAGTTTTGAAATGGTTGAATCTCAGGTAATTATGGTAGATTTGGTCGAATGATGTCGAATGGTTTTTACTGTAAGTCACTACATTTATTATTTATACTGTTTATATATATATATATATGAACATGTATATTGTTGTCGTAGCATCAATTAGGCTTCAATGAAAGGAACGTCTTGTCCTGAGATGAACGTTTGTGTGCTTGTTTTGCTTATTTACAAAAGGGTTCCAGTGCTTTAGGTCAGAACATGATAACTGATGAAAGCCAAGATGCTGAATACCCTGCAAACAAAATCCACCAGGTCCCAAAACTGATAAGCAGAGAACAAATGGCGGAACATGATGGAAAGGCCTTCACCAAAATAGCAGGTCATAATCAAGGCCTGCACTCTTATGATTGGGAGATTGTTTTTACTTACATATACAAGTGGATCCATTGTTGAATTGGGGTTGATTGAATGAAGAGCTCCTCCAAAGCATTTTGAAGCTCCCAGGATCTAGTGCCGATGCTGTTTGGCCAATGCCTGAAGAAGACAAGAAGACATTGCGGCAAGTAGCATCTTGATGGAATGGTTGTCACGTTCGGTTTGGCGGGCATGTTGAAACATGTGCAAAAAGAACAGGGATTGAATAACATCACGTTTTCGCTGCGTGTTGCTTTGACCGAATCTTTGCACATGTCCATTTTGTGGCTGTGGTCAGAGCCCACAGTACGTTGTGACATGCCTTCATCATCCCAACAGAGAGAGTACATGAGGTATCAGGGAACATCAGAAAACAGCTTTATTTGTGTCTCAATTTCAAGCCTCTTCGATGTTCAGTTTGGAGGACTGACGAGGAGGACTGACGCGGCACGAGCTCCGGGCCGTGCGAGAGACCCCCGAGGTCATTGTGCATCGTCATGGCACGCGCTTTCCGACCAAGCCTTCAGGCTCCGAGAGAACGGAGCCAGCTGACCGGTTGGAGGCTTTACTCAGTGGATGACCGTGGCTATTAGGTGCTACTGATCAAAAGCAGATGCTGGTCTCAGGGTCTTTTTTCATTTTTCTTCAGGAGCATCTAAGTTCAGGGCTTAGACATTTTGATCCATGCCATATCCGAACCCCCCAAAAGAACCTTGAACATCTGGCATCCCGTGTTGCATCTGTCCATCTACAACTTTTTGGAGATCCCTGCCAGTGGTGTAATTACATTCTATGTGATCACAAGCATCTACTGTAATACATATCTGGATCACAGCTGGTGATGATCCTGACTTTGTTGCCCCAACATTCAAATGTTGAATTGGCATCTCCTTTAACCATAGACATAGACACCTCATTTCGCAGACACACACACACATGGGTGGTGTTGGTGGCTTATTCACGGCAACCAAACTGTTACATGTCCGAGTCCTCGCTTCTGTTGAATCAGGCTTGCACCCAGCAAACTAACTGAGTCATGCCTTTTGTTGTTTGGTTTGCTATCAACGGTGCCACTTGTTTGCTACTTGCGTTTCTACAACATACACCATCCTTGCATGTAAAAGGAGTAGTTCGGTCTCAATTGTACTAACCACTGTCAGAATCCTGTGCTTAGGAATCTTCTTGTCAGGCAACAGACCCCTGTGTCGACGTTTTTGGTATGTAACACAGTAACACTCATATAGGTATGGGCAACGGAGAAGACAGACAGATTGCATGGATGCCTACACCATATTGTTGATGGTCAAGCATTGCACCATCAAACAAGGGAACGCACGGTTCTATAAGTTGTAGAATAGGTCTTTCCCATAGATTGGACTGTAGATCCTTGGTTTTCTCATTTTGTTTGATCAATCGTGACGGAACACGATTGTTTCTTTCAGCGAAGACTGGGTCCTTACCTTTGGGCTGGATCTTCGTGGTCGTGCAAGGCCCTGGAAACCTGGGTTGGCCCGTCAGGGCGCAATTCTGGGACAGCTACAAGGGACATTTGACACCCTTGGGAGCCAAGCTCCTCACAGACACAGGAGAGTGACGGATCGTGCGATGCGGATCGTGGGATTGGCGGGCAAAGATACTTTCCCTAAGTACTGTATGGGTGCTTCTGAAGATGGTCTCATCAGTCTTAGGGGAGAGGTTCCAGTTTAACATCCCATAAGTTATGTCCTGAAATTATCGCAAGTGATCACCCACGAGGCAAGTTATTAACTGCTTTTCTTGAAGGGAATCATGCTTGAGATGCCTACGCCAGGGCTTAGATTTGCTGTATGGATTTTGCTGGTTTGTGGGCAGACAGGTGGCAAGATACTATATTAATATGTCAGCAACGAGTTGGCTTTGGACCTTTCACGATCTGACATGCAAAACGTGTTTGTGTTTTTGGGTGTTCATGATTCAGTTTTTGCCAACTTGAGGAGATATGAAGTGGGATATTTCTGCCCCTAATGAGGGAGCCAGGTCTCATCGTCTTTATGATTGTGACTATTCCGTAAGCTCGACAGAGCGACTGTGACTAGGTAGCGTATATCATACATCAAGTGCTAGATTACAAGAAAGAGGGGCCTCCTGGCCTCCTCCAATAATCTCCAATAGCTAGAAAACACACATTCTGTATATACTGTGCATGTGCCTATAGTATATATATATAGACAACATTTCAATACGATTCCGGCCGACTTTTGCCCACTTAGTTTCAGTCACTTGCTGGATTGTGGCAAATGGTCATGGATGTGTGGAACGACTGGCAACATGACATGATATGTATAATATGTAAGGGCTTCGCCCGGGTGCCGCCGACCCCTTTTCAAGAGGAGTGTCGCAGGTGCAGACAGTTGCAGTGAGCACTCCACGTTTCAGC